CAGCGAGTGCAGACAGGCTTTCCCTGTCTGGGATGTCTCCCGCTGCAGTTGGGGGGCTCGGATCGGAGAGCCAGACCAGCTCGTATCTTGACTAGGTGCTCAGCTCCTTGCAGTCTCCGGTACCTCGCAGAGTTCACATGCGGAGGGTCTGAAAGCGCCGAACAACTTGCACCTCCAACAAATTTGTCTGGCTTTTCGGCACCACAGTCCCAGGAGACTCAGAAGGACTGTGCCGAGGGGCCAGGCAGTCCCTGGGCAATACAGGTCGCCGCTCGTTGCCGGGCAAAGCCACACCGCGCGCGTTCCCATTGGCCGCAGGTGGCCGCGCTCCGCCCGACAGGTAGTCCGTCCTGTGCGCTCATCATTGGGCCGCGGCCGTGAGGTCCCCCGAGGATTGGCTCAGGTGGAGGCCCCGAGGAGCTTTCATTGGCTACAGGTGCCACCCGCCCCGTGGATTGGCCGTCTAGACGGCCAGGTTCCGCCCCTGCCCAATGCGCCCCCCGCCCCGCACGCCTCCCAAGTTCCGCGGAGTTGGCGCGGCCGGCGCCGTCGGTCCCGCGCTGCGCGCTCCCTTCCGCGTTCCGCCGTCCGCCCCGCCTGGCAACCCGGCCCTTTGCCGGGGCCGCTAGCCATGGCCCGAGCGACCTGGACGCGGCGCTGACGGCAGCCGGCGGAGCGCGCCATGCCCAGCCGGACGGACCCCAAGATGGACGGGAGCGGCGGCCGCGTCCGTCTGAAGGCTCACTACGGCGGGTGAGCGCTCGGCGCCCGACGGTGGGCAAAACGGGGCGCGCGGCGGTGGAGCCCCGGGGCCGTCGGGGGTTGCTGCGCGCGAGGGAGGCAGGGAGCTGCTGTGGTGCCCTTGAATGTGGCCGGAGGGAAGCCTCGAGGGCGGGGCACGCTCCGGGTCTGTATTGCTCTCTGGGCGCGCGCAGTAGGCCGAGTTGTTGCGCTCCTCGCCATGGTCGCAGTTGGTTAGGGACTTTAAGGACAAACTTGTATGTCAAAAGTTTTCATCAGATTGTGAAAACTTCTGGTGCATTAAAAAAACAACAAGAAGATTATTTAAATCGGTCTCGGTTTAAATGTAAGGAAAACCTTTGAGCCAGGTGAAGGCATCCACAAGAATGCCTGCCCTTGTGGGAACATAAGGGCACATTTTCGTGACTTTTGTTTGGGGGACAGGAGAACTTTTGGAGATGTCCAGAAAAAATACGGTCCTACGCTGTCTTTAAGGACACGAATGATGGACTATTCCGTCACTTCCCTGGAGGTGGTTTTGGGATTTGGCCTCGGTCCTGAGCCCTGGATTCCGCCTTGCTTTTAGGGGAAATGGAGGCATTGGGCACTTGACAGTGGTCAGTATGGCTGCCCGGGAGCATTGAGTGATGGGAGCGGATTGATGGAGCCTGTGTTCTGGTGGCTGGTCCGCCCAGGCTCGGCTGGAGAATCCCATGATCTTATTGCTCTGATTGTGTAGACAGAAGGCGGTGGAGGCCTAACGATTTGACTGCTTCCAATGGTGCCGGTGCTGTGTCTCCTGGAACTGACTTGGATACTCCCAGGTCAAGGGTCGACGGTCACTGCTCTTGGAAAGGAGGAAGGGAGTGGAGTGGAATGCTGGCCCTGTGACTGAACTGGGCTCTCGGCATTCCTGGGAGTTTTACAGAGTGGCTGATCCCAGCCACAGAGACAAGAGGTGATTCCTTGCCTGGGCAGAGGTTTGCTTTCCAGCCTCAGGGACTGCCTGGCCCCACAGTTTGTTATGGAAATATTCCAGACAGTTCCCTCTCACTATGGCTAACTTCTGGCGATGCTGGGCTTAGAGGTGGGGTTCCTGCTAGAGCCAGAGGAAGAAAGATCTCTGGGGGACTCGCAGCCGCCCCATCCGAAGATGTCAAGTCTGCAGCCTTGACTCAGGCCTGCAGTGCCCCTGCTAAAAGGGACCGCTTAGCTGTGTCCTCAGGCTTGTGGATTCTGTAGTGAGCCTGTTAATGCTGAGACTGTCCCTTCTGCCCGGAACCCCCAAGCTGGCAACACATGTTCAGGGTCGGTTCTTTAAAGCCCAGGGCCTTGGGAATGGGATCCCTTCCCTTGGGGCAGCTTCAGCCACTATCTTGGAGTCATGGCTCACCTTGGACAGTGTCCCTGTCCTGGACTTGTCAGTCTTGCCCACCCCTCCCTCCCTTGTGCCCCTGGGGAGCACTTTGGTTACTGGCAGTGTAATTCAACCTGTTGACTCCAGTTTCCTCAGCGGACAAAAGTGGAGCCCCCCCACCCCTTCCTCTCCCTTTCCCCACCCCTTCCTGTCCTCTTCCCTTTCTGCCTACTCCCCCACTCCCCGCTCCCTCTGTACCCCTCTCCTTTCATCTTCCCCTGGAAGGGGCTCCTTTCCAGCCTTCCTCCCCATTTACCCTGAAATCGGCCAGCTGGGTCCCTCTCTAGAGCTTGAGCCCCTGGGCAGTGATGTAAGAAATGCAGAGATACTGTCTGAGCTGTGAAGGTTGTGTGTGTGTGTGGGGGGGGGGGGGAGTTCTGTCCGGGAAGGCAGTGTTCTGGGGGCATGGGATAAGATCAGCCCTGAGGAAGGTGATGGAGCCACAGCTGAGTCATAGATACAGTCCTGTCCTTAGAACAGTAATGTGACGGCCGTTTGCCCTCCTGTTGTCCCTCGGTCCCTTTGAGGCTTGAGATCAGAGTGCTGCCACCAGTGGTCACCTCTACTTGGGGGGTGGCAGGCAACACCGTGCTCTCAGGGGATTACAGGTGACATTCAAAGCGGAGGTGCCTGCTTTTCTGAAACTTCAGACATCACAGATGGTGGGTCTTCCCTCCTGAGGCTCTTGTTACAAACTTTCATGTTGGAGGACCTGCTATGGTCCTTGAAGGTGCAAAAGTCAGGAATGGGTGGTCCATCCAGGCTGGTCCTAACTTCTGTGAGACACTCTTGCTTAGAGTTTTGTCATGAGGTGAGATGTGACCAGGGTGGTAGTTCAGCTTCATGTGGCACCTCCAAAGCACCGAGGTCTCACACCTGTCCTCTGGGCACTGAAGGGTGTGGGTGGAGGATGGCTTCCAGTTGGGTTCAGGCAGAGGTCCAATGTGGTTGATATATTGTGCACTCCAATAAACTTACCTGGGGGTCAGAGAACAGAACAGCCATAATATTAAACATAGAGGTTAGGCAGTGGTAGCACATGCCTTTAATCCTAGCATTCCAGAGGCAGAGATCCATCTGGATCTCTGTGAGTTCAAAGCCACACTGGAAACAGCCAGGCATGGTGACTTGCCTTTAATCCCAGGAAGTGATGGCAGAAAGCAGAAAGGTATATAAGGCGTGAGGACCAGGAACTAGAGCTGGTTAAGCTTTTAGGGTTTTGACCAACAGTTCAGCTGAGATTTATTCTGGATGAGGACTCAGAGGCATCCAGTCTGAGGAAACAGGATCAACTGAGGAATTGGCAAGGTGAGGTGGCTGTGGCTTGTTCTGCTTCTCTGATCTTCCAGCTTTAACCCAATACCTGGCTCCGGGTTTGATTTTATTAATAAGACCTTTTAAGATTCGTGCTACAGTCCAAGAGAGGGATTTCAGACCTGATTTCCAGAGTTCCCAGTTTCAAGGCTGGCCAATGCTGAGTATGCTGGGCAGTGTGGGCACTTTGTCAGGGTGACATCAGGTGACAGGTGCCTGGGGAAGGGGGCTTGGTGTTTGGAGTCTCTCTGTTCCTCAGTTTTGTTTCCTGCCATGATTCTACAGGCTGTGGCGAGTAGGAGCAGGATCAGTTCCTGTGGCAAGTGGCGGGGAGGGGGGCCTGTGCAGGGTTGGCTGGCTGGTCTTGTAGGAAAAGGAGGGCAGCTGGGACATCTGGTCCTACAGAGTGGGTGAGATCCATGGGCCAGGTAGGACCCTGAAGGCCCTGCTGGTTTGTTGGGGGCTGGGTAGGTGCTCTGAATACTGTCAGTGGACAAAGACTTTGTTTATAGGCAGTTGTGTGACCCAGTTTAGATAGCCCAGTGGGAAAGTGAAGGGGTCAACAGCAACCCTGGGTGGCATTTCCGTTTCAGAGCTTTTCAGGTTTCCTTTCCTAAGCCTTTCTCTCCATGGATGTGAGACATGAGTTGATTTTTACTGCAGTGTCAGTGAGGGTGTGGTTCCTGCTTAGTTTCCATGGAAACTTGTTGCCTGCCCTTCCTTATAAGGAATGAAGGGGAGCAGCCTGCCCCCCACACACACTTTTCATTTTCCTCCGCCATGGCATGTCTCTGAGCCATCTCCTACTACTAGAGGTCTGAATCCCATTTGGGAATGACAAGATAAAAGGCAATGGCATTCTGAGATTTGATTTGCCAAGAAACATTCCTTCCAGAATTGTTACTGCTACACTGGGGTGGAGGTGGGTCAGGTCCTACCAGGATGTTCAAGAGCTGCTTTAATTATCAGTTATTCTCCTCTCCTTTTTCTGGATACCATGCCCTGGTTTTCATCTTCAAGGTTTTGGGGATTGGCTTGACTATGGTGTTTTATGCAAATGAAGCTAACAGATTTGTGCCTGCATCCTGGGGTTCTCTTTGGGTGCCCAATGATGCGGTTGCTTGGCCCCAGGCCTCCACTAGGGGGCACCTTCTGTCACTTCAACTTGGTTTTCTATAGAGTCATGGAGGTCTTTTTTTTTTAAATTATATTTTATTTGCACTGGTGTTTAGCCTGCATGTATGTCTGTGTGAAGGTGTCAGTTCTTAGAATTGCAGACAGTTGGGAGCGGCCATGTGGACACTGGGAATTGAACCCAGGTTCTCTGGAAGATGAGCCATCTCTCCAGCCCATGGGGGGTCGTTTTTAAAACTGGTCACTGGTTCTATTTTGTGTTTGGGAGGGGGCTGTCATAGTGTCTTTGGGAAAGATCTTCATTTTTTTAATCAGTAACTTGGCTAACTAAGCAGCGTTTGGTCGGATTCAGATGTGATCCCGGTGACAGATATCCCTGTCCTCTTTGTCCCAGGGACATCCTGATCACCAGCGTGGATGCCATGACAACATTCAAGGACCTCTGTGAGGAAGTGCGAGACATGTGTGGCCTGCACCAGCAGCACCCGCTCACCCTCAAGTGGGTGGACAGTGAAGGTAGCCCCAGTCTTGGGATGATCAGCCTGAGCTCCAGGGCTTAGGCTAAGCAACCTCCCCCAAGTACAGCTGAACTTGTTAGAGCCAGCTACCTCAGTACAGTGGCTGCAAATGGGTGAACAGGATCTGAGACAGCACTGAGAGCAAGGCACAAGGGGGTGTGCCTGCTGTGCGGGGTGCCTCGAGCTTGCACAGCGCCTTCCCTGACTGTCCCTCTTCTGGGGTGTTCTGGCAGCTGCTTTAGGAAGGACTAGCTCTTCACTTCAGTTTCCCACCTCTTGATTTCTCTCGCTCTCTCCTCCCCGCTTTCTCATCTCATCTCTCTCCTCTTCCCTTTCTCTTCCTCTCTTCTCTCCCTCCTGTCTGCCCCTCCTCCACCTCTCTTGCTTTCTCTGTGTCCCTCTGTCCTTGTCTCTATTTCCTCCTTTCTCCTCTTTCTCTCCCACATTCAGACTCATGGAGAACTGGGTGAGATGGGCGGCCAGGAGAGACCCCTTTGCACAGCTGACCTACAGCTGTCAATCACTCAGACACTGCATTAGGCAGAGCACATGACCGCTCCTGTTTCAGCAGAACTACTGGCACATGGGCTGGTTGTGTGTATCTCTGCATCCATCGAGACTTTACCTAGGCCACCTAGGAGGAAGTTCTAGGGCTTGCTGCCTAGCAAACTCTTAGAGCTAGCTCCCAAGGCTGTGTGTGAGTGAACATGACTTCCTTCTGGGGATTGAGAGGTTCTTTTTTTTTTTTTTTTTGGTTTTCGAGACAGGGTTTCTCTGTGTAGTTTTGGTGCCTGTCCTGGATCTCGCTCTGTAGACCAGGCTGGCCTCGAACTCACAGAGATCCGCCTGGCTCTTCCTCCCGAGTGCTGGGATTAAAGGCGTACGCCACCACCGCCTGGCGATTGATAGGTTCTTACATGGAACACTCAGGTCCCATGAGGGGAAATTAACTCATTGGTTTGGATGGCTGTTCTGGAATCTCCCACCCCTGCTCGGTGCTGATCATGAACAATGAGACTTTGAAGTGCTGAGTAGCTCAGGCCTCTTTGCCTTCATACTTCTGTAGCCTCATTGGTGCCTCTTACCTCCACCCGCTAGGTGACCCTTGTACCGTGTCCTCACAGATGGAGCTGGAAGAAGCTTTCCGGCTGGCCTGTCAGGGCAGAGATGAAGTGCTCATCATCCATGGTAAGTGAGAGATCTAGAGCCGACTTTTCATCTGTCCACTTAGTCTGTAGAAACAAATGGCCTGTCTTAGTTTGCTTCCTGCTGCTATGACAAACACTGTAACCAAAGCTACTTGGGGAGGAAAGGGTTTATTTAGCTTACACATCCTGATCACAGTCCGTCGTCAAGGGAAGCCGGGGCAGAAACCTGGAGGCAGGAGCTTATGCAGACATACCTACCCAGGGGTGGTACTGCCCACAGTGGACTGGGTCCTCCCACATCAATCAAGAAAATGTCGCACAGACTTTCCTAAGGGACAATCGGATGGGGGCATTTTTTCAGTTGAAGTTCCCTTACCCAGATAACCCTGGCTTGTGTCATGTGTACAAGACTAACCAGAACACAGCCTGAGGAACTCTCCTCAATGATGGGATCTTTGACAACCTAAGGGTTGGGAAGCCATGTGGAGTCTGTCACTATAAAACCTTATGATGCTCTTATGTGCTTTTAAAAGTAGATTTATGGGATTGAAGAGATGGCTTAGTGGTTAAGAATACTTGTTGTTCTTGCAGAGGACCTGGGTTCTGTTCCCGGCACTCACATGGTGGCTCACAACCGTCTGTAACTCCAGTTCCAGGGGGATCCAGTGCCTTTTCTGACTTATGCAGGCTCCCATGAGCATGTGGCGCACCCGCATTGAATCAGACACACACATACACATAAAAATAAATTTACTTAATTAGAAATGTATTCTTGTATTCATTTATTTATGCATGTACAGATGTGCACGGATGCCACAATCCATGTGTGGAGATCAGAGGACAACTTACATGAGTTGGTTCTTTTCTTCTTTCTTCATGATGTGGGTCCCACAGATCAAATTCTGTAGCTGGAAGTTTCTCCAGTCCCACCCAGCCCCACAGTCCCTCAGACAATTATAAAATAATCACTCCGAGGCTTATATTAATTAAAAACGGTATGGCCTATGGCTTTAGCTTTTGGCTAGCTAGCTCTTTCATCTTAAATTCACCCATTCCTATTAATCTGTGTGTTGCCATGTGGCCATGGCATTACCAGTCTGTTGGCATCTTGTTGCTCCTTTGGCGGCTGGCAGCTCTGGACTCTGCCCTTCTTCTCTCTGTGTCTCTGCTTGTATTTCTCACCTGGCTGTAAGCTTTCTTGCCATAGGCCAAAACAGCTTTATTTATTATCCAGTGGGAGTCACACATTCACAGCGCACAGAAGACATCCCACAGCAGAACTCAGTTCCTCAGGCTTGATGATAGGTGTGTTTACATACTGAACCATCATGCTGACACAGAAACTTAAGTTCTGCCGAGCCTCATGGTGTAGGCTTGTTGAGAAATGGAGGTAGATAAACTGAGAAAGTTCAAGACAGACTTGTGCTATAGAGTTAGTGAATGCCAGCTTAACGAGACTTTGTTTCAAAATAAAAAGTAAAAAGGGCCAGGGACGCAGACCCTGTGGCTCAGTGGAAGACAACCTACCTAGCATTCTCAAGACCCAGGTTTAGTTCCTAGTGCAGCTTTTTAAAGTCGATTTTTTTTTTTTTTTTCTTTTTCGAGACAGGGTTTCTCTGTGTAGCTTTGCGCCTTTCCTGGAACTCGCTTTGGAGACCAGGCTGGCCTCAAACTCACAGAGATCCGCCTGGGTCTGCCTCCCGAGTGCTGGGATTAAAGGCGTGCGCCACCACCGCCCGGCTAAAGTCGATTTTTAAGATAATTGCTGCTGTCCTTTGTTGTGTCTGGCTTACTTTATTAATGAGAACTGCTAGTTTTCCTTTGACAGCTCTGCCCTCCAAAAGCCTTTTCCCTGGAACCATACAAATGGGGCTTAGCACGGAGATGTTCTCGGGTACTGAGGTTCTGCTGAGGAATGTCTTCCTGGTCCTCAAGGGGTCTGTGGGGACACTTTGGCTCAGGGCAGGACTTTCCCTGAGAGACAGTGTTAATGGCACAGTGATCACTAACTTTATCATTTTGTTTCTTTTTATCCAGTTTTCCCAAGCATTCCAGAACAGCCAGGCATGCCTTGTCCTGGAGAAGACAGTGAGTGTTCAATTTTTTTTAAATTTAATTTGATTTAACTTTATGTATATGGGTGTTTTGCCTGTATGTGTGTCTATGCACCACATGAGCCCTGGTGCCTGCAGAGGCCAGAAGAGGGCATCAGATCCCCTGAAACTGGAATTATAGTTATCAGCCACCATGTGGGTGCTGGGAATCAAACCCAGGTTCTCTGCAAGAGCAGCCAGAAGTCTTAACCACAGAGCCATCCTGCCAGCCTGACTGCTCCATTTTATGTATGTATGTATGTATGTATGCATGTATGTATGTATGTATTTATTTTTCGAGACAGGGTTTCTCTGTATAGTTTTGGAGCCTGTCCTAGAGCTCGTTCCGTAGACCCTGCTGGCCTCAAACTCACAGAGATCCACCTGGCTCTGCCTCCCTAGTGCTGGGATTAAAGGCGTGTGCCACCACCGCCCGGCTCCATTTTTAAATTTCCTTTTAACATGTGCCAGGTGCTAAAGGTAGAACTGCTGGTCCATTGTGTCAGAGCAGTGGGTGAGTGCCTTGTGTGAAGCAGGGCCCTGGGACCCAGAGTCGTTTACCTTGGTGAGGAATCTAACCGCAGCGTGAACAGTACTGTAACCTCAAGAGCTCTTTGCACTTTGGCTGGCTCCCTCATGGTTTCCGTGGATGTGATGTGGCTGACTGGTGCTTTGTTGGCAGTGGGGGAGGTGAGGGTAGGAGGTGTGGTGGGCTTGGTTGTGAGGTGGCATAGTAGAAGGCCCTGATTTGTCCCATGAGGGAAACGCCAGGTCAGAACACGTGGACGCTGCACCTGTGCATCTGTACCACCGCCTGCCCCGTGCGGACCACCCGGGCCTGGAGTTCTTGTCCTCTCCGTGTCTTGTGCTGATCTGTTCATTTCCCCCTTTTGGCAGGAGATGAGGGAAGCAGGTCCGAGGAGTGGTGGGATCCAAGGGGGGCTTTGTCTTTGCCCTGATTGTGTCCTGGAGACCATGCTTAGCTGTTAAGGGGCGGCACGGTCCTGGGGGTGACAACTTTTGGCTTACCTGGTCAGTGAAGAATTACCTGAAGTTGCACAACCCAGTGTGATTAGAGGGAGGCAGGTGCTTAACCTATGTGTTTTGCCTCTGGTGGGAAGGGGAACCAGCCCAGGGACACAGGGTAGGAAGCCAAGAGAGAGTATCGGTCAGGTGTGTATGCGTGTATATGGGGGTGTTGCCTAAAGAGGCCTTTGACAAACTGGGTGGTGTGGAACCCAGGACACGGAACCTTCCAGCCCAAGTCCCAGGCAGCCTGTGCAGAGTTCTTAGGATAAATGGCCAGCGTGTTGTGTTTCCAGGTCCTGTGGAGTACTCCTTGATGCTCCAGACCCTCCCTCTAGGGTGCCCATGCCCCACGGAGGGACAGGTATCTAGACAATATATCTTTTGTTTTTGTTTTTCGAGACAGGGTTTCTCCGTGTAGCTTTGCGCCTTTCCTGGAACTCACTTGGTAGCCCAGGCTGGCCTCGAACTCACAGAGATCCGCCTGGCTCTGCCTCCTGAGTGCTGGGATTAAAGGCGTGCGCCTTTAATACTGCCCAGCTTTAGACAGTATATCTTTATGACTATGTAAAACAATAAAATAAGGCAGGGGCTGGCAACATGGCTCAGTTGTTGCCTGATGACCTGAGTTTAATCCCTGGAATCCATGTAAAAAAAAGCAGAAGACAGCCAGCTCTACAGAGTTATGCTCTGACCTCCAGACACACACCGTGGCACACATGTACCTGTACTCACACACATCATACACACGTGTACATCACACTATGGCACACATGTACCTGTACTCACACATCATACACACGTGTACATCACACTATGACACACATGTACCTGTACTCACACATCATACACACATGTACATCACACTATGGCACACATGTACCTGTACTCACACATCATACACACGTGTACATCACACTATGACACACATGTACCTGTACTCACACACATCATACACATGTGTACATCACACTATGGCACACATGTACCTGTACTCACACACATCATACACACATACATCACACTATGACACACATGTACCTGTACTCACACACATCATATGCACATATACATGCTCACACAATAATAATAAAGTTCTAAAATTAAAAAAAAAAGAACAAAATAAAGCGGCTCAGGAGGGAAGTTGAGGTTGGCTTTCACACTGCTTGTCAGCAGGTGTGTTTCAGGTGGTGTCTGTATGTTACCTGGATGACTTTTTGGTTGTGGTGACAAGATTGTGTTCATATGTTCTACCTTATATCACGAGAGTCTGCATGCGGTCCCTGTGACCACAGGGCAAGAGGGTAGCCCAGATGTGTGTGGATGCTATAGGGAGGGTGCCTTGAGTTGGTGGGATGTTGCCATACAGTAGTGTCACTGAATGTCAAGAGCTTGGGGACTCTGCTGAAGAGTAGAAGTCGGGTGTGACAAGGTAGGTCCATATCACCCTGTGGGCATGCAGAAAATGTGGCTGACGTGGCCACATGAGTAGGTCCTTGAGATGCTTGCTGGGGTGGCTCAGTCTCGATAGACACTCAGTTTTGTCAGAACATTCCATAGAACCTTTGCTGAGATCAGAAGGTCTTGAACTGAGCACCACAGAAGATGATTGACAAGCCAGGGGCCTTCTCTCCAGCTTATGGATCATGTCCTGGCTGTCTGGTGCACTGGGGTGTAGAAAGGCTCTCATCTCTCGGGGCCTGGAATGTATGAAACAATAGGATCCTGAGAGAGGGTCTCCCGGTCTGTGTTGGTGTCCTGTCTCCCCAGTGTGTAACACTTGCCCCTTGATGTCTGTTCCTGTCACCCAAGGGAACTGTGTGACTTTGCTGCCTACAAGGACATTTGTGTTTATAGTTTTGCTGAGGGTCAATGAGGAGGCTCAGCCTGGTGGGATGTAAATAACAAGGGTGAACCTCCTTGAGCTTTGTTAGGACAATATGAGAAGGACGGACAGACACATAGATAGATCATAGCCAGCGGTGGATACAAGTTTGAAGACTTTGAAGGACCTGGTTGACATGGAACAAGGGAGTATCTAACAGCGTGCCATGCTGGCCAGTTGTAGCAGGCCTTTTTGGTCTGCCAGCCCCCAAATCATGACATTGAGCCTTATTAATTATGAAAGCTCAGCCTTGGCTTAGGCTTGTTTCTAACTAGCTCTTATAACTTAAATTAACCTATTTCTATTTATTTACGTGCTGTCACATGGCTCATGGCTTTTTTACCTCTCTTCCTGCATGTCCTGCTTCCTCTGCATCCGGCTGGTGACTTCACCTTTCTTCTTCCCAGAGCTCTCTGTCCAGAAGTCCCACCTATAGCTTCTGCCTAGCTATTGGCTGTTTAGCTTTTTATTAAACTAGTCACAGCGACACATCTTCACACAGTGTAAAGGGATATTCTACAACATTTCCTCCTTTTCGTCTAAATAAAAAAAGAAAAGTTTTAACTCTAACACTGTAAAACCATATACAATAAGAACAATTTTCAGGTAAGAATTAAATTTACAATGTCCAGTTCATTTGCATTTGTCAAATTAAGAAAAAATACTCCGTTATCTATTCTAACTTAGCCCAAAGTTTTATACCCAAACCATTTCTTGTCACAACTTGTATTACCATCCTAAAAAGATCTTTTTATACCTTAAAATATCTTTTTAGATAAATAACTTAAACTTTTATGTTTCTCAGCCTTATAAACTTTACATCTCTTTTGTAAGTTTCTTCAACTTCTAAAACTATAGAAATGACAGAGACATTTGGCTGCCTGGACAGTCACCCAAGGTTCCTCTGCAATGTTGGGGCATCCATCTTCAGCCTACAGGCCTAGAATGTCTGACAAACTTTTCTGTGAAGGAGGAATTTTTTGAAGGACTGTCCTACCTTGTCTTGGCAAAGTTAAGCAGTTGCTTTCTTTTGTATCCTGCTTGTTCAATTTGGACAGCATACTGTTAGCAGTCAATGCAAGGACAGTTTCTTGCCCAAATGGCTCGCTTTTGCCACAAAGAAAGCAAACTCCATATGGAGGTTCTTCAGTGCCCATCATCATTTTTTGAAGTAAATTGGTGCTGCCAGGAGCAGATGTGTCTCACTGTCATGAAAGCCTTATGTTATTAAAACATTTTAAGTGCCATATTCCGTAGGTCTTTGAAGTGTTTGAAGATCACCCATCTATCTAAAATGTATCTCTGTGTAATCTTGAAAACATACCTAACATGACTATAAGTTTGATGTTATAAAAAAAACTATTAACCTGCCTTTTTTCTATTATCCTAAATAGCTTTCAAGGACTAAAACTTTACATTACATTTTTAAATGAGCTGCATAGGTACAATACCTTAAACAAGAATAGAAACATATATATAATATAACTAAAGTAACCTGCTGGGAACCGAACTTGGGTCCTCTGGGAAAGCAGGAAGTTCTCTTAACCACTGAGTCATCTCTCCAGCCCCAAACCAAACAGTTTTCTAATTTGAATTTTCCTTGGATCCTGTGAGTAAGTTCCTCCTGGTTGTTATGTATAATATTTTTTACCAGGTTCCTAAATTTGTTTTGCTAGTGTTTTTGTTGTTTGTCTTTTTTTCTTTTTAATGGTCATTGATGCTGGTCATGAGATTCAGGGCCCATTGGGATAATATAAAGACATCCATCTTGGACTTCTGACTTAACCACATCTACAAATTAGGTCTTACCAGCAAGTTTTAGGGAAAGGATGTGGGCACATCTCAGTGGGCACATCAGTGTTCAAGCACCCTCAGTTGGTGGCTACATTTGAGGTCCATTTGCCCTCTGCACCTTGTAGGTTGGTGGGGCTGGTCTGACTTCCTTCTCCATCCCACTTTGTGGGTGGCCTTACACTGTTGTGCGGGAGGCTGTGTGTGACTGGGGTGACCATGGGGCACTTGGTGGGGGTTGGGTCCCTGGGGGTTCTGAAGTGGATGTCAGGTTCGTGCAAGGCAGGAAAAAC